TGTGTGTCTTTGGATTGGAGCATTTAGTCTATTAACATTTAAGGTAATTATTGATAGATATGTATTTATTGCCATTTTAAACCTTGTTTACCCATTGATTTTGTATTTCTTCTTTTATCCTTTTGTGGTTTGATGATTTTCTTTTGTATTATGCCTATGTTCTCTTCTTTTTGTTTTTTTGGAATCTATTATATGTTTTTGATTTATGGTTGCCTTGTTTTCTCAAGTATATTAACCCCTTTCTGTATCTACTTGCTTTAGACTGATAGTCATATAGGCTCAAACACATTATAGAAAAAAAAAATTCTACAATTTTTTTTTTTTTTTTACTCTTCTTCCCCACATTTTATGACTTTGTCCCCTTTATATCTTCATGTTCATCCTTTTGCTGTTCATTGTGGTTATCATCTCTTTCACAGATTTTTAAAAAAATCTCTCTACTGGCTTATTTAAGTAATTTACTTTCCAATTGTGATTTTCTGTTTTCTATAGATTCTTACTTCTTTCCTTTTTAGAGAAGACCTTTAATATTTCCTTTAGGATATGTTTTTTATTGCTGTGTTCTTTTAATTTTTGCTTGTCTGAGAAATTCTTTCTGTCTCCTTCTAAATGAAGATCTTGCTGGGTAGAATATTCTAGGTTGCAGATTTTTCCCTCAGGACTTTGAATATGTCTTGCTATTCCCTTCAGGCCTGCAACGTTTCTATAGAGAAATCAGCTGATTGCCTTATGGGGGTTCCCTTGTAATTAACTTTGTTTTTCTCTTGCTGCCTTTAGAATCCTCTCTTTAATATTTGCCAACTTAATTATACTATGTCTTGGTGTAGGTCTGTTTGAGTTTATCTTATGTGGGACCCTCTGTGCTTCCTGTACCTGGATATCTGTTTCCTTCTTTAGGTTTGGGATGTTTTAGCCATAATTTCTTCAAATACATTTTCAATCCCCTTTTGTCTTCTCCTTCTGGGATTCCTATTATGCATAGATTGGCATGCTTTGTATTATCCCATAGGTCTCTTATGTTCTTTCATTTTTTTTTTCATTTGGGTATCTGTCTGCTGTTCTAATTGGGTGATTTTCATTATCCTATCTTCCAGATCATTTATTCGTTCTGCATTATTCCTCATGCTATTCATTGCCTTTAGGTCAGCTTTTGTCTCTGCGAATGAATTTCCTAATTTTTCTTGGCTCCTCTTTATAGTTTCTAGTTTGTTTGTTTGTTTTTACAGTAATCTGCATTTCTGTCAATAGCCTTTCTTAATTCCTTCAGTATTTTCATTACCTCCTTTGTGAACTCGGTGTCTCTTAGACTGAAGAGGTTTGTTTCACTGTTTGTTCCTTCAGGGAAATTCTCTTGATCTTTCAATTGAGAGTGGTTCCTCTGCTTCTTCATTTTTTCCCCTTATATTTCTCCTACTCTGTGAGTTTAGGAGAAATAATTAACTACTGTGGTCTTGGAGGGTTATTTTTATGTGGGAGCATCCCTGTGTAGCCTGTGTGAGTAATATTTTTTGGTGCGAGGGCTGCTTTTAGTATGGGTGCTTGCTGCCCCTTTCCTCAGTGTATGCTGGCCATTATCCCCTTAATAGGAGGTGTGACTGGTATTTTGGTGACCAGAACCTGCACTGGATATTGAGTGGGGCCTCCCCTTTGCTCTGTGGTTGTCACTGCCCTGTCACTGTCACTGCCCTGTCAGGGGCGCAGGGTCTGCTCCCTAGTTGTTGGAGTAGAAGCCCCCAATCCATTACTGAGCCGTGTTTCTGAGCTGCAGTATGAGACAGGCAGGACTGGAGTGTACCCACTGGAAAGGAGCCCCTGGGTATTGCTCCGCTGGAGGTGTTGACCAGTGAGTGCGCTGTTGTGTCACCTTCTTATCTGTTGTTTGCACTGCCCTCGGCCCCACCCTCAACCTTGGGAATGCCAGCACTCGGCCCTAGTGTCCCTCAGGCATCGTTTTCACAAGGCCACCAGCACAGATCCACTGAAGTCAGGCTTTAGGACCACAGCAGTTGCGTGCCTGGACCCAATGTGGAAGGCTATGGAGGCAGCCCAGACCCTGGCCAAGCCCCCATGTGCACGTGCCCGCACAGTCCAGCCCATGGCTGCTAAGGCCAGACCTGTCCCGGTGGCAGAAGCACCCGTTGTGCGTTTGGATGTCCCACAGGCGCTGAATTTACAAAGCTGGTGGCACAGGTGTAAAACTGTGGCTCACGCAGTCGCTGGGAGAGATTTCAGCCCTGCTTCTAAGTCACGTGGCCCCTGGCACTCAGCTGTGGATGCTGCTTTTAGTGTTCAACAGGGAAAAACAAGAAAGATGATGCAAAACGAAATGCCATGTTTTGGCCGTGGCATTGGATTCCAGGAAAGTGAGTAACCTGAAGAGAGGTAAGCCACGACAGTAAGGAGCAACGTACTTACTGTCAGGAGGAAGAACATTGGAAAACAGATTGCCCTAGGCTGAATCATGAGAAGAAACACAATAAGACGAGAGCCTCTCATATGGTAGAAAGAGAGGAACACTCTGATGAATGAAGAGGCCTGGGGCTCCCTTGGACTTGGTGCCTAATTCCCCACACCCGGAGCCCTGGGTAGAATTGCCAGTGGGGAATGAGCTGCAAGTTTGCTGGGATGAAGGAGACGACTGATCATTATTCTGGGAAAAAGCTGGAAGATGGCCCCAAATTCTTGTGATGTTGATATGGTTCCTGGCAAGTCCACTGTGTTGAGACCTTCTCTGACTACCCTGCTCTGGACCACTTTGCTGGTGGTGACATGAGACAGACGGTTGCTATAGGTGTTATCAAAGCAGTGGACAAGAAGGCAGTTGGAGCTGGCAAGGTCACCAAGTCTGCCCAGAAAGCTCAGAAGGTTAAATGAATATTATATCCGCCACCCCAGTCTTAATCAGTGGTCAAAGATGGTCTCAGAACAGTTGGTCTCAACTGGCCATTTAAGTTTCATAGTAAAAGACTAGTTAATAACAACAATTCATCGTAAAACCTTCAGAAAAAGGAGAATTTTTTGTGGACCATTTGTTTTGTGTGTGGCAGTTTTAAGTTATTCGTTTTTAAAATCAGTATCTTTTAATTGGTTAAAGCCCTCCTTAAGGAAATTATCCCCTGATTTGGATTAAGGCATTGGAATTACATTCATCCTGGAGACCACAATAGGAAAAACTGAGAAAATGGATACTAATTTAACTTGAGATAAGGCCTTGCCAGTTGCCCTGCTATGAATCAGTGGCTCCCAGTAGCAGGCTTAAATTAAGTCCCTTTGAAACACTGAATGGTAGGCCATTCCAGGTGTCTGCCCAGGTGATAGAATCTATAGATGCTTTAAAAGACCTAGCAGTTGCCAATGATGTTGAAACTTTGGGCACTATACTAATCTCTGTTCATGAGTTTGCCTCCAACAGGTCTGCCTATCTAACTGAAGTGGATGGGAATTTCATTGTAGCTGGAGAAGGGTCAACCAAGTTGTTTAATTTTGTCTAAATAAATAGCACAGGAATTTAGTATATGTACTGAGAACTGGAACCAAAACACCCAAGTTCAATTACAAATTAGACAACAAAGTGCTAACGGGCTTCATCAGGTTCAGATAGTTGTAGATATATAAAAGGACAGACTAAATATTCTAAGGAATGTTTGTCACCTCCGGAAGTAGCCAGAGCGGTCCTCGTCCTTTTCACACAAGTTGGTGGAGTGGACATTGGCAGTCAGGAATTGTAATAGGAAAGAACCTTTGTATTCTATTACAAGTTAATCACTATAAGTATGTTGCCTATAAGCTTAGGTTATACATAGTGGCCCATCTCTGGGAACCCTGTCTCCCAGGTAATGAGCATTAAGCTAAAATAAACCTTTGTTTAGCTCACAGGAAACATCCTGACCAGGCCCACCTGTGAATGACTGCAGGCAGGAAGAAATTAACACATCCCCTATGGAGGTGGACCAGGACCAGGAAATGTTTGACTTTACTCCCTCCTCTTTTAGTATAAAAGAAGCCTGAGTTCTAACTAAGGCACGATGGTTCTTTGGGGCACAAGTTCACCATCTTCTTGGTCTGCCAGCTTTTCGCTATTCCTTGCCCCAACAACTCATCTCTTGATTTCTTGGCCTGTTGTGTGGTGAGCAGTATGAGCTTGGACTTGGTAACACTGAGCCCAGGAAGTGCAAAATTCCAGAAGGGAGATTTAGGTTAGGTGCTAGAAAGGAGAGTCTGCTAGAGACCATGGAACGAGCTATATTCCCGAATTTATCTCTCCAGCCACTTGCAAGCAGAGGTTTGATGGCCACCTTTTAGGGTTTCTCTTAACGCTATGAGATTGTCCTAGGTAACCTCAAAGACTCCTTCAAGGTTCTATGATTCCATCAGCCTTGTCCTTGGCCAAATGTATTAATTAGGACTTGTGACTTCATATAGCAGGCACCCAACTAACCAGAGCTTGAATGTATGGGCTCTCTTGGAAGAGCAAAGATGCAGCCGATCCTCAGTCGTAACGGAACCAGGAACGTGAAACCTGCAGGACTCTCTTCAGTTCATGCCTCCACTTTGGCTTTGCTGACTTTCTTCTCTTTCTTAATCCAATTTCCATCATATATCAAAAAACATAGCCACTGACGCCTCCCGCTTTTCCCCCCCCCCCCCCCCCATCTAATAGTTTCTGTCACTGGAGATGAACTGCCTCTTTGGTATCAAGGCAAAAAATAACACATCTTCACAGGCCAGGGTACAGACTGACCCATTTTAGGAGTCTGCACCCCCTATACCACCATCAGTTGAAGCCAGAAGAATGGGACTAGTTAGAAAATGGCAGGTCTCTTGGGAACACTATGGATAGATCAGAAAAGGAAGCGTACTAAACAAAATAGTCCCCTACCTCAAAGCAAAATGGCAGGAAGCTGGTGCTCGGGCATTAAGAACACCACAGGTTTAAAGTCTTTCTAACTGCACCGTATACAAACTATGAACATAAATTTTAGGACTCGGGAATCTTCCAAGTTGATAACCACAATCTTTCCGAGAATATCTGAAAGGGATATTCACTGTTAGTCTGTGTATTCGGCAACTGTAATGCGCTTAGTGCTGAGCTAGGTGCTATGCTGGGTACAGAGCTATAGACCATGGTTCCTATGTTCAAAGATCTAACAATTGAATGGGATTAGGACTGAGGAGCATTCTGAGAACCATTTTAAATATAATAGAGGATTATCCCTCACCAATGACTATTTATGAATAGTCCTCGCATCAAGTTTAAGTTAAAACTATCTTCTCAAGGAAAACCTCAATGGTTCAGAAATAGCTTCGGCTACAGAAATCTGTATTGTTTATTCACTTGTTCGCTCGTAAACACTTCGTATGAACTCACCTTTGCTTTAGACATGCCACTAAGTGGTAGAGTTACAGTTCCCTACCCTCAAATTTCTCAGCTGCTGTTCTCTCTGCCTGGAATATTCTTCACCTAACTCCCACCTCCCATTGCCACCATCACCTTGTATTTAACTCCTGTTCATTTTTATAGATATTAGCCTTCCTCGACTCTCTTGACTGGGTTAAAACACTGCTGTATATTCCCATAGCTTTTATCCCCTTGGGAAAGTTATCTTACTTGTAATTTTTTACCCAATGTGTGTCTTCCTTAGTAGAATGGAAGTCCCATGGGGATAGGGCCATGCTTTTTCTGTTCACTACAATGCTTGAAATAGTGTCTCAAAATAGCAAGGACTAAATATTCATTAATTTGGCAGGTATTTATGGAACATCTATGTGTCCAGCATTGTTCTTATCACTGAGGATACGAAAGAGGGGGGAAAACCCATATATGGTTCCTTCCTTGAAGGAGATTATAAGTTAGTCAAAGTGTTGATTTAATGATGGAAGAATGTTTAACTCAAACTCCTTATTTCCCAGGTGAAGAAATGATTGCCAGAGAGACTAAGTGACTTAAGTCATATGAAGAATTTGAGTGCCGTAAGTTGTTTTTTTTGTTTTTTTTATTCCCTCTTACACACTGCTTCTCAATACACATTTCACAAACCAAAGGTGGATGTATGAACTTCTGTTCATTCAGTCCATGGATGCTAGAGGATACTGAAGCATCATGAGCTGTGTGAGTGGAGACAAACATTGCAGAGAATGTGATTTTGATGCCAAGAATGTTAAAGGCTAAGTCAGTACAGACAGCTTTGGTGATTTCTTGGCCAATTCTCCCACAGCCCTCATGATAGTGACCATCATGTCCTTCATCTTTGCTTGTGGACCCTCTGTGTCTGGAGTTCCTGGGAAAGTGAAGGTGTTGGCGTCGATGCAGCCATGTGGTTAGGGTTTAGTCAGGAACTGCTACAGGAGAGCTCAGTCCTGAGCCAGGAATTGCAGGAAGGGACTAACATGGATCACTTCTGAGAAAGTAGAAGGGCTTTTCAGGAGAGGGCATATAAAAAAGGCAAGGAGATTTTTAGGAGTGTATGAACAGCAAATAGCTTGCTAGAGCAGACAGTATATATTAAATAGTGAAAATATGGGATAGATATGGGGGACTGGGCTGGAATCGAGTCCTTGGAAATGAAAGAAATGGCTGGTTCAAGGAATGGAGAGAGAACTAGGTTTGGATTTCAGTTGGATTTCTAATTAATCAAACTCGCTCTTAAATTTAGAGCCGGGGAGGACTTCCACTGGAACTCTGCTGGGGTTCTTTCTCGCAGTTTGAGGAAAAACCACCCTAGAAGGGTATGGAGAGACCCTCTCCTCCACTCATACTCACGTGACAGAAGCCAGTCTCTGGACAGGTTGTTATATATCAGTTGCTCCATGTCAGGTTACCACGTGTGTGTCCCCAACTGAAAATGCACCCCACCCCAGTCCCCCACAAAGTTGAACTGACACATCAGTGGAAACACATAGCATAGTGCCAACTGTCACCCTCGCCGTCTCCAAACAGGGAATGGCAGAGCCTGTGCGTGATTCTCTTTGACTGCTGTCAGTGGAGGCCACACTGACTCAGAAATCTCACTCGTTTAAATCTGAGTTGCTGAGTCATTTTGTCAGAAAGCACCTCAATTCTGCAATAATCTTTTTAAAAAGCAACCAATTTTAATGATGTGAGCCGAAATCCTTTGGCATTTAAAGTGCTCTACTGAGGGCTCTCTGCTGAGACTAGCGGTTTGCTTCTGTTATGGAGAGGCGGAAAAGATGATTTCATTGTCTTTAAATCACGTGCGGGCTCAGGGAATGAGCTGTAGCAGGCTTGGGAATGTGTGGGAAGAAGTCAGAAGGCCATGCATACAACGTCTGCAAAGAAAATGTTTTATTTAAAGTGTTAAATACCATCACGAGAATGAATTTGAGTTTTACATTAGTTGGTGTTCATTACAGGACTAATCTGCCCTTTTTTTTTTCCAGCTGGAATTCCCTTTACTTTTAAAACATACTATGTACAGGGCAGCAATGGTCACTGGAATAGTGCTATTTACATGACTAAACCACAAGTCGAGGTGCAGACATGTGAAAATTAAAAAAAAAAATACACCAACATTAAAATAAATACTGCATAATGACAGGTATGTACAAATATTCCATACAGTCATGTCCTTCTTATTAAAATTAGAAATAATTTATATAGGAATATGCACAAAAGATTATGTGACTGCGTCTTAGTATCAGGAAAATGGTAAACGTTTATTCTAAGGGAGAGTATAGACACTATAGGTCTAGTAAGTCAATTGTTGCTGGTACACAAGTGTCTAAATTATTTCCGTAGAGTTTTATTCGTTCTTTTCAACTTTACCTGGGTCCATCGTAGGTCTCGAATGTCAAGACACAGTCTCAGTGTATTTCGTATTGCACCACATAAAGAGAAGGCATTTTTAGTGATACTCATTTTTAACTTTTGCACCGTATCAAGCATGATAGTTTTGAATGGTCAACACTGAACTTAAAAAGGAACACAAGAGAGCAATTTTTGTGCGTGGCCTTAAACAAATGGTATGTACGTGGATTTCAAAAGTTGTGGCAAGAAGTTAAAATCCATCTGTAAGAATGTGTTATCAAAGTGCACAGAAAGAAACAAAGAAATATGGGTGGTTTATTACATTACTCGGTGACTTTTCTCCTAAGTCGGGGAACTTAAGAGAAATTTGACCTTGCAGCACCACCCAATGGTAATAACTGTCTGTAAAACCAAAGGCAGGGGTTTGATTTTGGGGATTCGGGTGTAGACTTTTGGTGATGGCATCAAAGAACTGCAAATAGGCAGACTGACTTTCTTTGAGTCACCTAAAAATTGGAGCTTTAAAATTATCTGTTGCAAATTTATGTTTGCTATATTTCTTTAGAAATATAATTTGTGAAAAATTGAATTTTACTACGGATAAATGAATTAATAAACAGTCTTGTGTTTCAGGGCTTCAAATTGTTAGCGTTTCTATTCACATAGTAAATGGAAATTGGCTAAAGGAATTGCTTCATGCTTTAATTAATTAGAAAACAAAACACAAAACCTAAGACCTTCTAAAAATAATACTTTAACCCCTGTATGAATAATGCTGGTGCTAAAAACAAATTTATTAGACATTACAATGGCCACATGATTTTAGGATTTTCCTGTAAACTGAACTTTGAAGATGAAAATAAAATTACCATGCACTGTACAATAAATTGCAAAAGTTCAAATATCTTCTTTATCAAATACATGCTGACTTGCTCTAATGTACTCCCAAGTCATGTTGCAAAATCCTTTTCAACATGCTTGAAATAAAGAAAGCTCTTAGTTTTTTCCCCACCTTGAGAAATTCAGAGATTCAGAAGCATCTACAGCTCTGAATCAAACATGGGGTATAAGAGAGTATCAGGTCAAAAACTTGTAATTTTTTAGCATAATGTTCACTCTGGTAGGGAGAAAGAAAATAAAAGCTTAAAAGAGGGAGAAGAAGAAAAGTGAGATAGAGGAAGAAAGATGTGAACAATTTGCACATATTGAACTTTAATATTTGTATATTTAACATGGAAATAAATTGAATATGTTACACTTATTTGTCACATGAATTTTAAGTATTTTCTAGAAAGTATTTTCTTCTGTAATGTCTGCCAAAACACAGACTATGATTACTTTAAAGAATAAACATGGTGTGTCTTTGTATCACCCTGTTGCATTCTCTCCCTTTTTTAAAACCATGCACTAGTGAAATTTATTTTTAAAAATAATATAAATTGTTGAAAATGGCTGATTTTTATTTTTATTTTTTGCAAGTTGCAGCCCCAAGAAAATAATTTAAGTATTCAGCTAATCTGTGTCCATGCAAACAAAAGTTTAATTTCATTCAGTACAGTGGAGCCACAGAATTTTGTTTTTCAGAGTCCAACTCATCTTGGCATTAGTGGGTACCATGCCTGCTGGAGCTCTGAAGTCTGCCACTGTTCACGCTGTCACACGACTGGCTGCTCCCGTCCAGAGGAGTGCTGACGTTTTCGTCCTGGACCAAGTCTTTGGTCTCTTGCTTTTCACCTGATGCTTCCTAGGACTTCATGCCTTGACTTGTAACATGGCTTAATGGCTGGATAGCTCCATTTCTGTGGCATCACAGGACTTTGGGGTCAGAGAAATGAAGAAAAAGGAATGATAAAAATATAAAGGTGCCATTGAAAAGGGCTTTTGTTGCATGAAACTGACTCTTTGAGATTAATCCATGGCTTCAGATTGGACCAAAACGTGAGTGTTATTGAACTCCAAACCTGATAGTTCGTCATAGCTCCGCTCTTTCACCTGAGGGCCTTCTTTAGGGCACAATGTGTGCAACTTCCTCTGAGAACACAGGATCGCTTTGTATCCCTAGAAACAGGCTCAGAAGACACAACATTAAGCATGCAGTGTTACCAGGGTTTGCGACCTGTGGGGTTTTTTTCTTTTTTTGTAACGCTGGTTGCTATGACAACAGTTTTACAGCTGCTATGAACGAGAGTAAGAAGGTCCAGTTGAACTTTCCAGAGATGATTGGGAAGCTCTTCTTGTCAGAGGGGCCAAGGTTGGATCTACTAGGGAGGAAGTGGGGAAAAGTTTGAACCAGCCAATCACCATATTGGACAGCTCCAGTTCATCTAAAAGTATCTGGGCCACTCCCATAAAGGATTTGTGATCCATGCGGCCATAGTCTCCCCAGACTATGATCTGTTGACAAAATTCAAAGAGCAATGTCAGTATAATCATGTATGTAAAAGCTTGTCAACTAAAATACATTCAGTTAGTGTGCTGACATCAAACATCAAGTTATGTAGTTGTATTTAATTACTGGGATAGTTGTCTTTGCTAGAATCCGAAGGTACGTTAGGAAAACTTTACAGGAGTGTTCAGATCATGAGCAATCAGGGAAGATGGGAGCTTATGCGTGATGGGGGTTTACGAGTCTACAGTCACTTTAAAGGAAACAACAGTGTGTATAGCTTTTTTTTTCTTTCTCACATTCATTTCCATTATGGTTTATTACAGGATATTGAATATATCGATAGTTCCCTAGTGTGTATAGCTTTATAGCACTGGCCACTACTTTGAAGTTTCCCAAGAATTTCAGCTGTGAGGAGTGGAAAAGGATGTGATAAGAAAAGATGTTGGATACAAAGTCTGACTCCATGAAGACACTTTCTTAGGTAAGGAATATATAATTCAGTAAATACCTGTAAAACCTTTCCTTGGGGACTTTCTTCAAAAGATAATAGTTGCTGGTAGAGGGGTTCCAGCGTCTTTCTTGCCACTTTTGTTTTCCTTTTGGCTATGCAGACTCCATTATCTAATAGATACACCTTTACATATGGTGCTTGGGAAAGAAAACACAGAGGAGAGTTGGGAAAGAAAACACAGAGGAGAGTTAAGTGATGAGCTATGGTTACGGAACACCCAGCTTACAGGTGACATCTGCCACAGCTTAATCTTAGGCTGGAAGAGCCAGCGGTCAAAAATCACTGGCCTTTCCACATTACGTCAAAATCATTAGCTAAACAATAGATAACTATCAGCCATTCAGGTAGTTTTAGGCAATGTTAACATAGCATCTGAGTTGATTACTATTTTGCCATCAACTGGTTATATGGATTTGAACAACCGCGTTAAAAAAAGGAGAAATGCTTCCAGTCCCTAACAATTTCAAGAAAGAGGTCTCGCTCAGTTTTTCATGTGTCTATACTTAAATCTAATTAAACGTGCTTGAAATTAGATTGTTTTACTCACCCATCCCCACAAATCATTGATCACTCAAAAGGGTTTATTTATTGATGGTGTGGGTACACAACAGGGGTGGGGTTTGATGTAATATGTTCAAATTAGCCAGGAAGAGGCAACTAATTATGACTACCACGGGTTCAAGTTTTTCTGACAGACTCTTCATAACATTTTCGTGCATGTACAAACTGCAGGATTCTTTCTAGCAGAGTCAGTTGACTAAGCGCCAAGACGTTTATGAACACAACCGTCTTAATCACCACCGCAAGGTTGTACAATAGGTAACAACATACGTTACAATTTGGAATTTCTGCAGGGACAGGGAAGCTAGAGATTCAAAATTACAGTTCAGTCAGTGGAGGTGCTGAGGTGAGAAACCAAGTTTCAGAATTGTTCTATACGTCAGATCCAGTGTTCTCTACATCTCTGCATCAGACATCTGGAATCTGTGGCATTCCCCATGGCTCGAAGCACCTTAGATTATGACATTTCGGTATGAAATATGTGACATCACAATAAAAACTTACAATGGTGCCTCTCTATATATTACAGGAAGTAAGAATCTTAGAATGTCCTTCACATATGGGCTTATGCTACTTTGGGAACCTGTAACTATTTTTATTCTAATTCCAGGACTCTAAGGATTCTTAAGGAGAATTTAGAAGCTCCAGATAAACTGAAGAATAACACAAAACACTAGCTAACAAGAACTTCTTATGTACATGTCATACAAAATGAATGTGATAGGTTTTGTTTTGCAGTGGTTTCTACCATATATGTGTTTATCTTAACGACTTGTCTTATCCCCATCTGGCCACTCTCACTGGGTGCTCACTCAGGACAAACACACAAACTACCACTTAACTGTCTCATTTATTAGTATCCTTGATCATTTAAGAGCAAAGCTTCCAGTATCATTTATTAGTATCCTTGATCATTTAAGAGCAAAGCTTCCAGTGTCTAATCAAAAACAGTCTCTGAATTGAAAAGTGTGGATTATGAACAATAATAGAAGAATCTCTTCTGTTCTTACCTGGCAGTGTCTTGGAACCTGGTTTTACAACAAGGCCACGGGCCCGAATGATTTCCACCTCCAGCTGTCCCTTTTTGTCCATCATGCCTACCTGAATGTCACCTAATGGCGTGTGAGGAAGAAACAAACAGTGAGAGAAATGTTTGTGCCAAAGACCTTGGTTTAACATTGTTTCATCATTTCCTACATCTTTTCCTAAATTCAAATATATTTAAAAATTTATCAATGATACTTTACTTTAAAAAGCATACAAATTAAAATGGAAAAATTTAGTCAAAGTTTTTTGTTTAAATCTAAGATACTCATTCCTGATAATACTGTTAAAGATCCTATGAAATTAAAGAATGTGATTTTCAATAATCTAAAAGAAAAACAATGAATCACGTGACAAATTCTTACCCATGGCAGGTGTGGCCAGAGTCTGGCGCCCCACTAGCTGGGCAGGGCCAAGGCCATCCAGAAAATCACTGAATTGGCTATCAGAGGCCAAGCGGACACCAGGGAAAATCAGACTAAAAGTAAAATAACACACAGGATTAAACCCTCCACTCCTGTTTCCATCTAGCCCCCTTTCCGTGGCAGGAGCAGCTGGTCCCACTATTTTGCCACTTACATTAATTGGATCCCAACCTCCCCACTGCACCTCCATGGCTCTCCCTCCTTATCCTCTAGCAGCCCTCGTCCTGTATTGCAAGCCTCTGTTTATGTGCCTTTCTTTTCCTTGTCTGGAGGGCATGAACTGTGATTTCTATGTATAGCACTCAGTACACTTTGAGCACTTTTTCCATGACAGGCATTAGCATACTGAATCTCTTAGCTGCACTATGACAGAGGTTCTATTATTTAACCCATTTTATCGATGAAGAAAGTCTTCAGATCAGATCATTCCCATCAACACCCAAACACACTGCTATTTCTTCCACCTTAAAAAAATCCCTTTCCTAACCTCCTTCCCTCCCCAGCTACCACCCCGTTTCTCTCCTTGAAACTTCGTAGAGCTGTCTCTATGTACCATCTTCAATTTCTTTCCTCTCATTCTCCTTTGAAAATCGAATCAGTTTTTCCTTGCTCTTTTCCTCAATTTTTCTCCACTCCACCAAAATTTCTCTGATCAAGGTTACCTAACAGCCACAGTGGTAAATCTGACCGTTAATACTCCAGACTTGTCTAATTGAACATATTAGCCTCATTTGACCCAACTGATCCCTCCCTCTTCCTTGAAATACTTTCTCCACTTTGCTTCCTGGACTCTCTAGCCTCCTGGTTTTCCTCTTTGGCTATTCTTCCTCAGTCTCCTTTGCTAATTTTGCCACTAAATATAGGAGGCGCCATCTTTTGACTTCTCTTCAAGCCATCATTTTCTCTTTCTGTATTGCTGCGACAGCCTTCTGAATGATCTCCCCATTGCCACCTTCCTCTCCACTCCCACAGCAATCAGAATGATCTGTTAAAACTGAAGCCAGATAATGTCAGGCCTCTGCTCACAATCCTCCATTGGTTTCTCATCTCGATCTGGGTAAAAGCAAAGTCCTTGCAATGGTGTATAAAGACAATACAACCTGTCCACCCCTGCCCCCCATATCTTAATTCCTAGATTTTTACTACTCCTGCCCTCATTCCCCGGTGCCGCCATTCCCACTACTGATGCCAGGTAAGCTCCAGCCTCAGCGTTGCTTCAGCCTGAAATGTTCTTCCTTCAGACATTCATGTGTTCACTAACTTCCTTCAGATTTTAAATCAAATGTGCCCTTTTCCCTGTCTAACCTACATAAAACCTTACCCTTAACCTCTGCCATCTCTTCTCTCACCTTTTTCTCCTTAGCACTTATACCACCTAATCTATTATATATTTTCCTAATTTTTCTTTTATTTGAACAATTTTTCAAGTTCATTGTCCATCTTATCTGTTAGACTGTAAGTTTGATGAGGGTAGGGTTTTTTTCTTATTTGTTCACTGATATATATCCAGCACTAGAACCATGCCTGAAATACTGTAAGTACTTGTTAAACTCAATCAATTAATTAAAATGAATCTTAAAAAAATTACATAACTTGCCCAAGTTTCTATAGCACCAAAAAACAGATTAGAATTTAAGCCTATATGATTCTAAAGCCTATGGTCTAACCACCAACTGATTTTTGCTTCCTCGTATGACATATATCCCCAACTCATAGCAAAGTGCCTAGAACACTAGAAGGTATGGAAATATCTGTTGAATGAATTTATGAGTATTCATCCCATTTCTCCAATAAGACTATACACACCTGGAGCACAGGGGTCATAGTTTGAACATTTTTATATCCCTAACAGTGTCTAATGCAGTGCTTTGCAGTGATGAGTGCTCACTGCACATTTCTTTTTTACTTGATTCTCCATCTCTTTTAAGACTTCCTTGATTAACGTCAAATCTATTTCGTCCCCCAAGCTTGCTTAATTCCCAAATATACAGTTAATCTGAACATTTTTAATGCTTCCATAAATATCCCATATAACCTTACTTATAAATGTATGGAAACCATATGTATCTCGTATTTATATAACTGTGCTATAGACAAATGATCCCTAGGGCAGATCATCAGCGCTCTGCCAGCTGCTCCTATGGCCCCACATCTGCGAACTGACGACACATATGTTTGCCTAAGCACCTGATGCTTCCATGGTGATGACAGATGAGGTCAGTAAACCCCACTCTCCTCTATTAATGTCCTTTACGCACCCATCTACGATCTGCAGTTGCTAATTCTTAATTTGTTGGTGACAGGGCTGTACAATCTTGACAAATGCTTTAAAAATATCTCAGACACAGTGGAGTCAAGGGAAAGCTACATGATAACTACATAAAGGAAAGGCTCACCAACTTTGTGGCATTTCATTTTGGCTGTTACATTTATCTGAACTCTTTGTTACTGGATGGAACTAAGTATGTATCGATATTCTATATTTTTTAGTAATAACTCTTAGAGCAAAGATTTAAAAAATTAGCATCGTACATGTGGCATAGGCACAAGTGCTTATTATTTCTGTGCTTTTATGTATTATTTCAAGGTAGGGCAAACTTCTATTTGTGACAGTCACATTTTAGCATCTTGCCCTTAGGTTTGGGGATAAAGTGTTTCAACTTATTTCCATTGATATACAAAACCAGATATGTCACATTTCTCAGGGGCGGGTAAGCAAAAGTTTTCTTCACAGCAAATCAGCCAGTGAAAGTTAAAATGGTGCTATAGGGCGTGTGAGTTAGCTTTGGTGAAAGCACAGAGAGTGAGGTAGAGAAGAAGGTCTCCAGCAAGGCATGGAGACCACGGCCCAGCCAGCCATCACTCACTTTCCTTCTGAGCTATAGCTGTTCATGCTGCCATCTGTAGATTCTCGGCTTGCCTGTCGAGTCATCCAGTTCCTCATTTCCACAGCCAAGCCTGTTTCTGTACTTCTCTGCACGGTGCTCCGTAGCTTTTTACCACTGGCTTCTGCACGGACAGAAAACAAAAGGGGTGATAGTTTTGTCATCATCATCTGGTAACAAAGAATAGCAGCCAATGCTTTGAGGTCCTCAGATGAAGAACCTGCATAAATACAAAATGCTTTTATGAAGGAGACAGAGAGAAAAGGTATTCCAAATCACGTCTTGTTGAGGGATGAAAACTTTCTAAAAAGTCTTCAAGAAGCACAAAATACCATTGTTTTATTTTCCTTTAAAACAGTGTTCAAATTGGTAACAAAAGGAACAAAGAGGTTCAAGCTATGTAAAATAAGCTTTGTTTTCATTGTAATATTTAAATCAAGATTAATTTACACCTTTTTCTTTTTTCTTTCTTTTTGTCATAGTCAAAGAAGTAGGCCTTCACATTATTTCCAAAGAATAGGTGGTGAGTAATCCTCAATTCTAGCTTTAACTTTCACACAAAAACCTGTTTTTGCAGGGTGATCAGTATTAGAAAGCAAAGAAAGCTACACAAAGGAGAGAGCCTCGCCTGATAACACTTTCACATCTGTTCGTCACTTTCAGAGAGGTTCTCATAAGGAATGCAAAACCCAGCAATGCCATGTGAAAAAAGAGCTTTTAAATTTTTGGTCATGGATAGTCATGTTCTTAAGGATCTTCAACAGTCTGAATAGGAGGTTTGCTTACGGAAGCCAATTAGAAGACCAAACAGGAAACTGAGTCAAGTACCACGGAGGTGACAGAGGTGCGAAGTGCCATCTGCAGAGGTCAGGGAGGAAGAGCATCACAGAGGGAGCTGGGACGTGAGCTGGGCTTGAAAAATGGGCAGATGGGGATCCAAGAAACAGTCCCAGTTATCAAAGGCCTTGCATGTTGGAATGTGGAGCTGAGAGATGACTGAAGCTGCAGCAACAGGGGGATGGTTCAAATTACTTGTATTAATTTACTTCCTGTCAGGTCTAAATATTTATCCACATTGACTATTCATATCATTAGTATTCTGGGATATGGTAAGCTCTTTTAGTGCCTGGTATTAATAATTTCATTTTAGATCAATAAATATTTGGTGATATTGACAGTGACTTGTGGAAATCCTTTCCATCAAACCGCTTATAATATCTGCTCACCATTTTGAAACACTGCTTTAAATTTCATCTCTTCTCCACTTCCAACTTTAATGTACATCAAAATGCTTTAAAAAGTATATATAAAATGTTATCACTGATCTACAACTCAGTTCCCTAATCTGAGCCTAGTAAAACATGTTGTACTGATATGAACTACTGAGAGGAGCTAAAGCATCCCCCATTGATGACGGAAGGCTCTTCCTTCCAGAGAAATGGTTAGTTAATACATGTTAAAAGTGAGAAAACTTTAAAATTACCAATTGGCAACCTCCAGTGGAATAAGTGATTCAAATAAGGCACATCAACGGATGCTAATGCCATTAGATAAAAGGATATTCATATGAGCCAAAAAAAATCATCCCACAAATAGTTCTAATTGTTAAAGGAAAACAGGTACTTTACTACTGGGAAACCTGGCTATTGCCATCTTAATCAGGTGAGCAAACTTAGCACTAATAGTGGGGCAATCACTGTAGCACCTATCAAGTTGTTCTAGACAAAAGTACACAACCTGTTTCTAATCAGGTCTTTGCAACCAACTTCTAAGTTGGTTTCTAAAAACATTTCTAAAAAGTTTCTAAAACTTTTCTAAGGTTTCAAAAATAGAGAGGATAGAATAACAAGATAAAGGATACACACAAAATCAGACAAACCCAGAGTATGGGATTTTGTTCAAGAGAATTGACCTAGTCTCTTAAAGTTAATATCATGAAAACAAACTAACAAGGTGGGGGAATTGTTCCAGCTTTAAAAATATCACAGGGATGTAACTATTAAATGCTTTAAGTATACTTTGACTGGTTTCTTTTCAAGAAAAAAAACAACAAAAAAAGAAACCCTAAAAGCAAAACACTAAAAGCAATGTTAGGACAAGTAGGGAAAATATGAATATGAATTGAGTATTAGATGGGATAAGAAAATTGTTAATTTCCTTAGGTAGATAGTGGCATATGTTATAAAAAATTTCCTTATCATTAGGAGATACATACGCTGAAGTATTTAGACATGAAATGTTATATTGTTTGCAACTTACTTTCGAACAGTATAGCAAAAAATACACATATACTTAAAGAGGATGAAATAACAACAACAATAACAAAAAGGATGGGGATGAAGAGTAGACCTTGCTAGCCATACATTCAATATCTATGATTTCATTTGAGAGTGATCCCCAAATGGCCACATTAAACTGAATGAAGTAAGTCAGACAGAGAAAAACAAATATCATATGATATCGCTTATATGTGGAATCTAAAAAAATGGTACAAATGAACTTAGTCACAAAACAGAAATAGAGTCACTGATGTAGAAAACAAACTTATGGTTACCAGGGAATAAAGGGTGGGGGAGGGATAAATTGGGAGATTGGGAATGACATATAGACACTACTATGTATAAAATGGGTAACTAATAAGAACCTACTGTATAGCACAGGGTACTCTACTCAGTACTCTGTAATGATCTATATGGAAAAGAAATCTAAAAAAGAGTGGATATATGTATATGTATAACTGATTCACTTTGCTGTACAGCAGAAACTAACACAACATTGTAAATCAACTATACTCCAAAAAAAATTAATTAAAAAAAAGTAGTAAAATTTTGTCCAGGTGTGAACTGGAATCATGAAAGGTGCTGGGCTGGTGTGAGGGAGCCAGGCCAATGCTGAGTCCTGGCCACTCCGTGTAGCTTTACCGTTCGCTTCCTGTGAAGAGTGCCTATGAAGCATGAAAAACCACCACCAAGTGAGATATACAACTTCAGTAACGTTTGAAAATGCAGAATGAGGATAAGTACAGAAAACATGACTTCCTAAAGGTCTCAGGACATGGCCTTTGCAGTGTCAAAAATCTACTGGTTTTCATTTAATGCCTGACTCTTATCACAACAAAAGTGACTTGAAAATCTGCTGTTACAGGCTGATGAGAACTAGTGACCATTTGGCAAAGAATAACAATACAACGAGCATGTAATCCTTTTGTTTACAGATTGCTTTTTACATGTGTCCTCTACAGAACAACTCTCCTAATCCCCATTTTACAGATCCAGTATCCAAGGGCCCCAGCGGGTTACACAATTCCCTGAAGCCAAACAAAAAATGACAGAACCAGAGTTTATACACAGTTCCCCGACCCCAAGTTCTCTGCTATTCACTATTTTGTCGTCAGAATATAACCAATGGGTAGCTTGGACAGCTGTCCATGGAGATGATACTAAGCTAACTCTGAGTACATGTGGAAGGCCCTGCTGGAAGCAGCTGGTGGGGTGGAAAGAGCAGAGAATAGTGAAGAGGTCAGGCCCTGCTGTCCAACTGTTTCTCTTAGAATCCCTACTCTATCATGTACTCGCTGGGTGACATGAAGCAAGTTACCTTCTCTGTGACTCAGCTTTCTCAAACTGTGAAATGGCAATGATAATAGTAATGCCTACCTGATATAATTTTTGTGACAGTTAAGGAAAATAATACATTTAAAGTGCTTAGGATAGTGCCTGCTATACAGAAAATCTTCAATTAATGGTACTGTTATTTCTACCAGAAAGGAAATCAGAAAACATGTATTCTAGGCCAATCTTTATCACTGACTAGCTGGCTCTATGGCCTTCTCTGAGTCATATCCCTCTCCGAGTTTCAGGTTCCTCATTTATGGAAAAAAAAACAAAGGAGGGGGCTTCCCTGGTGACGCAGTGCTTGAGAGTCCTCCTGCCGATGCAGGGGACACGGGTTCGTGCCCCGGTCCGGGAAGATCCCACGTGCCGCGGAGCGGCTGGGCCCGTGAGCCATGGCCGCTGAGCCTGCGCTTCCGGAGCCTGCACCGTAATGGGAGAGGCCACAACAGTGAGAGGCCCGCATACCGCAAAAACAAACAAACAAACAAAAGAACAAAGGAGGGGGAGGGTGCCAGAAGATCTCTGATCTCTTTTAGCTCTAAAGTCTATGAGTTTGTGTCATTAATGAATGACCAAGACCATGATTAATAGCATATATTGAGGAGATAAGGCTACTCCCTGTCATCTGATGGAATCAAAGAATTCTAGGCATATGCTGAGCATTTATAATAGATTTTTTTTTTTTCCGGTACGCGGGCCTCTTACTGTTGTGGCCTCTCCCGTTGTGGAGCACAGGCTCCGGACGCGCAGGCTCAGCGGCCATGGCTCACGGGCCCAGCCGCTCCGCGGCATGTGGAATCTTACCGGACCGGGGCACGAACTGAACCCGTGTCCGCTGCATCGGCAGGCGGACTCTCAACCACTGTGCCACCAGGGAAGCCCTATAATAGCTTTTTAAAATATGTCTTTTAAATGTACTTTTATCTGATATATTTATAGACTTATTTAAAAAGTATGTATTTTTCTTTTTTTTTAACATCTTTATTGGAGTACAATTGCTTTACAATGGTGTGTTAGTTTCTGCTTCATAACAAAGTGAATCAGCTCTACATATACATACATCCCCATATCCCCTCCCTCTTGTGTCTCCCTCCCACCCTCTCTACCCCACCCCTCTAGGTGGACACAAAGCACGGAGCTGATCTCCCTATGCTATGTGGCTGCTTCCCACTAGCTATCTATTTTAAAGTATGTATTTTTCAATACCACAAATCCTTTGCATCACATTCACAATAAAAGTAATTTAACCTAAATATAATTCATTATGGTGATTCACATTTAATGTTTTGAATGCTGTCATGTTATTCAGCCTAAAAACTGAATCTATATAACAGAATGCCTATATAAAGTATAGTAGGCAGAATTCTAAGATGGCCCCCATGACTATGTTACTTTACATGGCAAGAGGGATTTTGCAAACATAATTAAGGTTACTAACCAGTTGACCTAAAGATAGAAAGATTATCTCGGTGGGCCTAACACATCCACATGAAAACTTTAAAAGCAGAGTGCTTTCTCTGGCTGGTTCCAGAAAAGTCAATCAGGGAGATCTGAAACACAAGAAGGATTTGGTGTACCTTTCCTGGCTTGAAGATGGAGGGGACCTTGTGGGAAGGACCTGAGAGCAGCCGTCAGCAATGCCTAGCTGACAGGCAGCAAAAAACTGGATTCTTCCAACAGCCTGAATGATCCTGGAAGCTGACTTTCCCCCAGAGCCTCCGGACAAGAACTCAGCCCAGCCTACACCCTGATTTCAGCCATGCAATACCCTAAGCAGGATCCCAGTCATGGCCTGCCAGACATGTGTCCTACAGAACTGTGAACTAATAAATGGGTGTTGTTTTAAGCTGGTAAAAATTTGTGATAATTATCAAGCAAACAGGTAATTCTTTAGATTATTTTTTTAATGGGAGATCTATAAAAATAACCTGTTGTGACCACAGGAGTAGAACACCTGAAATTATCTGTAAGAACTCAACAGCGATGATAAGAAAAAGTATATATTTTAAAAAGTATATATACATATATACACTACATACATATCATACATTTTTATATATGATATGTGTGTGTGTATAAAGATGTTTAAAGATACTCAGGTAGCAAACGACAAAACTAAGGCCCAGATTAGGTTGTTGCAGAGTTCTTAAACCACTCATTCTGGTGTGGTATTTTAAGCCGAAGTATATTTGGAGAAGGTGCCTGTAGGTAAAAATCAACTTTTGAATTACAAAAGGTCACAAGCATAAAGCAACACAGGAGGTGTCCTTGTTATTCTGCTCTACTTAGTCTGATGACTCATTTGCTTGGCACCCTCTAAATTCAAAGAAAGCCACTTGAGTAAATAAACAACCAAAGTGTCAGTTTCCCGTAACAATGCTGAAAACCACGAAACCCTTTGAGTGACTTGACAACAAAAATCAGAAAGTCCTCCAAATGTAAAATAGCTAGCTAGTGGGAAGCAGCTGCATAGCACAGGGAGATCAGCTCGGTGCTTTGTGACCACCTAGAGGGGTGGGATAGGGAGGGTGGGAGGGAGGGAGATGCAAGAGGGAAGAGATATGGGAACATATGTGTATGTATAACTGATTCACTTTGTTATAAAGCAGAAACTAACACACCA